TTAAATGCTTTAATGCAATTACCAGCCTCTATTTATTTAGCTCCAGGAATTATATTCTTTCTCCTATACTTCTTATCCATCAATCAAATTTACTCAAAAAATTCTCCTAAATAAAGCTCATTAATCACATGTTTTATAAAGGAAAGGTACAATAAGCAAGCCTTCTCAACATGCAGTCATTATTAAAAAATCGTGCAAGTCATGCAACATACATATCATGCAATTCACCACATTCATCACAAAATCTTTTAGTATTCATTTTTCTTTTACAAGTATAGATATGTCACATTTATGAAAAGAGAACAAAAATACCTAAATCAATTTGAACATGAAGTTATTTACTTATTGTATGAAGTAAACATAGGAATTTAATTCGTGCACACTTATACTTGCATACCCCATATTTGTTTTCCCATGATTCATTAACATATACATACACACACAAGTTAAAATGACTTTTAATATATACACATATATACATAAACAAGTAATTATACATATATAACTATAATAGTACATACATATACATATGTATTTTAAAATAATCTTATTTGTACATTTAAAACACATTTGTGCATACATGTACAAATACATGTAATTAGTACATTTCTTCCCTTCATTAGATTCAAATTAGGTCAATTAAGTTATTAATGATCCATTAAATTTATTTGATTACTTTATTAAATTATTAATAGTTTAAGTAATAATTAAATTATTAGTGGCCTTGTTATTTAAATTAAATAATTAATTACACTATTAGTAAAGTCACTTAATTGACCAATTAAATTGTTTATTAATAAATTAAATGATTAATTAGGTTTTTAATACTTTAATTAAATTATTAAATTAACTTATTTAAATTTAATTAGATTATTTAATTATTCAATTATATTATTAATGGATTGGTTAAATGTTTAATTATTTAATTAAATAGTTTATTAGATAATTAGGTTATTAATGGAGTTAATTAAATTATCAATTGATTGATTAAGTTATTTAATGTATTAATTAAAATTTTAAGTGGTTAATTAAGATATTAACTAATTGGTTAAATTATTGATTTATTAATTAAGTTATTAATTGATTAACTTAGATATTTAAATGGTTAATTAAGTTATTGATGAATTAATTAAATGCTTAATGAGTTATTTAAATTATTAAAAAATTAATTAAATTATTAATAAGTTACTTAAATGGTTTGTTGAAGTTAATTTATGGGTTGATTGGTATTTTTTTATTTGATTTATTAATATGTTAATGTTTTGGGTAAGCTAATTAGTGAGGTTTAAAGGTTGACTAGATAATAATTAAGTGGAGTATAATGTTATTAATTTAATTAAGGTTTCAATTGGAGTGATTATAGGTCATTAAGCAATGTTTAAGGCATGTAAGTTTCAACCATGGGTTTAAAGGGTGCTTAGAAAACGACTAGTGATATTTACGGAATTTAAAAGTAATTAACAATGACCTTAGGCTCATTTGAAGGTAATTAGCCATGTTTTAGTGTAACTAGAAGTGAATTAGAGGAGATAAAAATATAGGAGTTTCAGTTTTAACAAATTGGGAAGGTTAAACATATAATCTACATAATAACATATAAAACAATAAAAACCCTATGTTTATTTGCAATTATCAACATTTGAACATTAAGCCTAACAACATGAGAATAAATTCAAAAATAAAAGACAAAACATGCTTAACTAGTTTCAATTTTGACCATAACACCATGGGATCAAATGTAACAATGCCAATTAAAACTGATTAAGAGATGATAGGACAAAAACCCTTAAGGTCTCATATATATATGTGTGTGTGTGTGTGTGTGTTACAATTTTAACTAATTAAACAGAAGAACACATCTTAAAAAGTAAGTTAACGTAATGATAACATAACACAAAGTAATTAACTCAAAAGTTTATGATTTGGACATGATGTTTTTGGTTTTGATTTTAAAAGAATGCAAATAAAATAGGTTTTATGAATTGACATCAAAATCACATAATGTGAAGAAAAAATATGGAAAGAGGTATGAAACATGGAGTTAATTTGATGAATTTCAGTTAAGATTTAGAAAATTTGAAGATTACATGATGAAACTTTAATGAAACTACATAAATTAAATATTAGACAATTTTCTTATGTTGAATTCCTTTTTGAATTGAATCAAGAGGAGTGGTAGTTGGGGGGGGGGGGGGGGGGGGGGGTTACGACTACTGTTGTGGAGATAATTGGGCTTGCTTGATCGACTAGTTGGTTAAAAGGAGTGACTAGGATTAAAAGGGAGGTTAGATTTTTAAAAATAAGGTTAGGATTTAATTATTTTTGAAGGAAATCATAGGAATTTGTGGCTGACATGTGGACCAGCAAGAATCAAATGAAAAGAATGGTGATGTGGCCAAAGAAGAGTAGTTATGTGGGGAATTAAATGGGTGGTTTAGATTGAGTGATATTATTATAGTTTTGATCAATTTTGGGAGAAAATTCTTAACTTTGCATAGAGAATTGGGAAAATTTAAATTTATATTCCATCTAAAAGAGGAAAAAAAAAGATTCCAAAAGTCTAAGCCATTTCAAATATGAAGTTCTTTAGCTCAAGATATGGTCATTTGAAGTTTGGAGGTGGTTATAGTAAAAAATTTGACCTTGGTCCATTTGATAGAGAAATATTCAAAGAATATTTTAATAATCGAATTGGTTTTAGTCGATTCAATCTTGATAGAGAGATATGACTTGTTAAAGTGGGCTCTATACTAGAAGACAAAAAATGGTTAATTTTGGCCAAAAATTTTTATTGAATTTTATTGATCAAAATGGTGTAGTTTTAAGTTTAAAACAAGTTTTTTTTCTAAGATGGGTAAGATGGAATTAATTTGAAGCACTTTTGAAGGAGTTAAGGTCAAATTATCAATTTTCCTCTTGTAATTATCGTTTTCTCTCTTTAAATTATCATTTATTCAAAATGTGCCCAAACAGGGTCAAAATTGACTAAGATGGAATTAATTTGAAGCTCTTTTGAAGGAGTTAAGGTCAAATTATCAATTTTTCTCTTGTAATTATCGTTTTCACTCTTTAAATTATCCTTTATTCAAAATGTGCCCAAACAGGGTCAAAATTGAGCACGGAAGGACACATTTAAAGATTTCAATGAAAAAACACAATAATAAAGTCAGTTTTAAAAAAATAATGACTTGTGAAAATTTTTTTACGTAAGATCATTTTTATGCAAAGAGACCCTAAGTGCACATTTTCACATAACTTGTTTGAAGTGATCATCAAATTGGTTTGCATGATAATTATTAGTGATAATAAGCTTCAAGCAATTTTCAAAATATGCAAAGAGACCCTAAGTGCACATTTTCACATAAATTGTTTGAAGTGATCATCAAATTGGTTTGCATGGTAATTATTAGTGATAATAAGCTTCAAGCAATTTTCAAAATGTGGGTTTTGAGCCTTACAATGGACTTAGGAGAGAAAAAAAGAAGCTAAGGGTTTTAATAAAAATCAAACTCAAGTGAAGTCTTGTCAAAGTTAAGGGAAATAAGGTCGACAAAAAAATGAGGTCAATAAAGGGACATGAAGATCATTCTCTTGTCCCTGCTGAAGCATATGGATATTGTCTAGGACAATCATTATCACAAGTTGAGCAAATTACAAGTGCAATAATGAATGAGTGAAATGTTGTAGTCATTTATGCAATATGTATTGTAAAACACTTAATATTTTCATGTGGAAACTCAATTCATTGCAAAATATTTTTTCAATCTTTGCCTATGTACTTGTTCCCACATAGATGGCCACCTAGGCAACTGTGGGTAATAATATTTTTTTTCTTGCATGTTGTTTTTTTGTTTTGTTTTGTTTTGAGGTTTTTGATGAGACATATGACCTTAGGGGTTCTTCTAGATGACCTATATGCTGCCATGGGTTTTAACATATATGAAATTACCTGCAAGACGCGGAAGTTCTTTCGGTCATATGAATTTTGGGGTTCTTCTGGATGATATTTAAGGTGACACAAACAGACGCATGAGTTCAGGTTTAAAAGTAACCAAGATCCCCTTTTTTTATGGTCTTCTGTGTTCTTACAATGAAAAATTATTCAACGGTTTTTCCATGGGGTTTCCTTTGCTCTAATACCTCACAACCATATGAAACTTTATTAATGTTTTTGGTTAATGACACATCAGACTGTTCGTGATTTTAAACCTTCAGAAACTATGAGTTTGAGGATTGATGGTGCATCTAGACACTTGCACTGTTATTGTGGATTGCAGTGTTCTCTGCATGCTTCAAGACAAACACACAGGTATGTGAGAAATTTTTATTGGTGTTTGAGGAATAGATTATAGGAGACTATGACTTCTTCATGTGGGCAGTTTGCTTGACTATTCTACTTCAGATAGTGATCTGGCATTTAGAGTTTCTTTGGAGAGACAAATTTCTCATGAAATCAGACATCTCAACTTCAAATCCAATATCATCATAATGTTATTTGTTGTTTTAGTTGTTTTAATTTTACTTTTTGCTATGTATTACTCACTGTTTAGTGAGATTTCATTTTGTTGTTGTACTATTTGAACTTATGATTTTTTGGGAATGTTGAACATATTTATGCTTTCATATATGAGTTATTCTCTTTGGATTGTTTCTGTTATAAAAAAACACATCAATCCAAGGGCAATTAAGTTTTTTTTTATCATAAACAGCTGCCACACTAAACAAACAGACAAACAATTTTTACGTAGCAGCTTATAAATAAGCTGTCCCTCAATCTAGTTCACATAAAAATATCACCATTACTAACTTAGAAAGCTAAAATATATTGCTTCAAGTGTACATTGAAGGCATAAATAAAAAAATTAAATTTAAAATTTAGATATATACATATATAAGAATTATATGATATATATGTACTTTTTTTTTTATTCGAAGAAAAAAAAATTCGTGTTTTGATATTTCGTTGGTCAGCTCCGCGCTAAAAAAACAGCCGGCGGAAATCGTACGAATGCGCCGGGGCGGGTCTTTTTCAGGAACGGACAGGTCCAGTGGTCGACGAAACCGGAGTGGTTCCATAAATGTTCTCTTTTCGGAGCTCTCTTCTGAACGAGTTTCAAGACTCGATCTCTGACGTAGGTAGGAGTCCATCCTCTTCACCCTGGGGGTGTCTCACGTCCCTTTCCCCAGGCGAAGGGGAGCCTGCACCACGGTTCCCCGGCCTTCACTGAAACGTTGTCGATCGGGGAGATCGGCTCCGACCGCTTTGTCTCCGGTTATCGGCTGCCTCCTTTAAGGTAGAGAATTCGCCGCCTTCGCTTTCTTTTATTGTCTCTCTTTCTCTCATTCCCATGCTTCGGTGAACTTGAATTTTTGGGACCAGTTATTTTTTTTTTCTTATTGTTTCATCGATTTACTTGATTTTTCTTTCTTACGTTCCAAATTGTCTATATTGGCTTTTGCTTTGAACATGATAATTTTATCTGTTTTCACATACGCGGAGGCTAGAACTGGTCAACGACTGGAATTTGGTGTTATCTATTGTGATTGCAATAGAAGATGTAGTTGAGCTGTTGATCTATGTCTTCATCAAACTTTTATAAATTAAGGAATTTGTTTAACATGTCTTTTCATGAGATTGTTTGTTTTGATAGCTGGCGTCGTATTGTTTCAGGTTATTATCGTAAGTATCAGAATGGAAATCATATGGTTGAAGACGCTGTCCAATTAGTTCGGTAAAAGGCAGCGATATCTGGAGCTTGGTTGGAGGTGAATTGAGTAACTTTGCTTTGGATTTCTTTTTAGGAAAGTGCTTGGGTTCCACTTTTGATTTATAGAAAAAATGATGGTTTCAGAGGATAGGGTTTTTCTCACAGGTAAAGACAGTTCATCATATCTTCTTTAATTTTCTTAAGATTTTTTCGATGAATGGAAAATATAGGAAGGGTATTCTATGCATGATGCTTGATTGTTGCAGAAGTGTTCACATGATTAATTGGTTGCCACTGTTTTTTTTTATCAGCGAAGGGTGGAATTTAGGACAACTAGATTGTCTTAACTTAACTGGATTCTACATTCTTTATTTAAATTGAGACAACACAATCATAGAATTTGTACACCCAAAAATGGCTTGCACGGATTTCGAGACAATTTAACGGTCTAGATAAGAAAACGAAAATAAATTGTACTTCCCTCCTTAAAGCAAACTAAATATGTATTATCATATTTACTCTTTTTTATCTTCTATAAATAGAGAAACTGTGACATGTATTAAGGCTCTCGGGCTCTTCTCTCTCAATCTTTCATGTAGGGAA